TGCCCACACAGAGACCTCATTGTCTATATCCTGATTTACAGGCTAGACTCCACCCTTACATTCTTAATTCTGAAATTGACACCAGATTATGTAACTACCACAACTTTTACATCTTCAAGTTGACATGAAATTATGTAACTACTACAAAGGAAAAGCTGTAATTCTGAATAATCAAAATCATTTACTAAAAATCCTTGTTTCAGTTTCAACAATTGTGTTTGTCTATCCTGATTTCTCACCAGGTCCTATGGAGAGGAAGCCTCCACTGAACTTCAAAACATACCAGGCATTTGCAGTATAAAGATAAAAATGAAAAAAAAAAAGTCAACTACTAAGTAAACACAGATAACAGAAAAGCACTGAGGAGATGGACTTAGTTTTACAGTCTAAATGCACAAAGACAAACAAACAAAAATCTACACGCTTCTGAAATTCTGCTCCCATCAGGATCCTCGCAAGGGCCAGTTTTTCAGTTTGTAACAACGATGAGTCCAGGGCAATATTTGGAGTAATAAATCTGGCATGAAAATTAGTATAAAATTGCAAAAGCTTTATCTACTTGTTAAATCTTTCTATGCAGGTATACTACAAATTATAATGAAATTACAGAATAGCAACAGGTGCTCTACTGATAGGAAATTTTGGTTGCTGAACACCTTAAATGCATGGGTAAAATGGTTTAGCTTTGGCAAACAATAATACTGACCATCATCTAATCTTTATTCAGTGACTCAAAATCTTTGATGGGAATTCCCTAAATATTGGCATACAGTTCTTGAATTTTTTTATAAATAAGATTATTTAATTAAAACTACTAGTAGGGAGAATAAATAGCCCATAATGTAGCCATGTAGAAAACCCCCATTGGTATTTTAAAACAAGATTGTGATTAGCATGGCTAAAACCCCAAACCAAACACTGCCATCAAGTCATTTCCTATAAGACAAAGAACTGTCCCTGTGAATTTCCGAGACTATAAATCTTTACAGGAGTAGAAAACCTTAGAAACTTCAAATTGTACAAAATGCTGTATTTCCGTCCCTATCCCTTAAACTTACATTTTAAGTAGTATAATCCTTTCCAGAAAAGACATTTATTCACATGGATGTTCTTTGCTTTTAAAATACACACAAAAGGATCTTATCAAAAGTAACTGTTTTCAATAGTAACAGGGTTGGTGCCAACTTGACTGGCCCAGGATTCTCAGTGGTTTGGCAGGAAAGACCTACTAATCCCCTGGGTTGATTGTAGAAACAAATCCAATGACACATATGTGTAAGAAAGAGCTTCATATCAAGAAGTAATTGAATATCAAGAAAATATCCCAGCCCAATCCAAATCAAATACATAAGTCAAAATTTAAGTCTAGTCCATAAATCCCTCTTCAGACTCATGCAGCTACATTCAATGATGGAGCATGCAGGAAGATGACAGGCCAGTCAGTGGGTAGAGTCTTGTGGATCCAATGGCATTGGCAGCATCAAAAGGCTCTGGCAGGTCTCAGCTGCATGACTTGTCAACAGGATGGTGATGGCAGAGAGAGAGGGGGAGGCAGGCCTCCAAGGAGCCATGTATCTCACCTGCTCTCCAATCAAGCTGCGACTGATTGACATGCTAAACTCCACCCCTTCACTCTTACTATCCTCAAGTTGACAGATTATGTAACTGCCATATTCCCCCATGATGAAATATATACAATGTAAATTGTATCTATACAATTGATATAATGAGATCTGCGAAGGGTAGTCAATTAATTGAAAGCACGTTTCCTCAGGAGGATAGCCTGTTTCCTCTATAAAGGAATGTAGAAAGCCTTGATTGCTTTGGGTAGGGTCTGGATCCTGCATCTGGCTCTTTTGACCTCTGGTTCCTTGGACTTGAGCCCATTGTACTGTGTGCTAATAATGGAACTCATCCGTTCCACATCACCTTGCCTGCCCACCTTGGATTCATCTTCCTCTGCAGGCACAGCCTCTGACCTGAAGACTTTGGACCCATTTGCTTTTGGACAGCCAAAGCCTGTCATCTTCCTGCCAAATTTGGGTTCATCAGCCCCTGCAGCAACTCAAGTCAGGAGAACTTTTCATTCTAACATCTGGCCCAGAGACTTGGAACTTGCTCACACTTCGAATCTACAACTATGTAAGTCTTTTAAAAAAAATACTCTCTACATACAAACATACTGGTTTTGCTTCTCTAGAGACCTCAATCTAAGACATGGTTCATTTCCTTGTTTTGTCTCTCAATTAATATTAGTAATTGCTCTTATGAGCACATGGAATGTTAACTCATTCCCCCTCAAAGCAGAACAATATTCCATCTAAGTTCTTTAGTCTTTGTGACTACCATTCGCATACCACTCACCTATCCACCCATTCATTACTTCAATAAATCTTTTTTAGTGCTTTATTAGCTAAATTATACTCCAGGCTCTGAAGATACAGCAGTACATAAAACAGACTGTGCTCATGAAGCATATATATTCTATTGTAAAAGACATAGAATAAAAGGTAAATAAGTTAATTATATAACATATTGGAGCATTGTAAATAAAGCTGGAAATGGGGCTCAAGAATATCAGAGCACAAAAAGGAAATTCCAACTTTAAATACTTGATCAATAATATCAAATTACATATTATCTGAATAGCACCGCAAGAATACCAGTATAAGGATTTTCTTTTGATTTGTTATATAGGTGGAAGGGAAATGGTTATTTGAAGTAAAAATTTTAAAAGTATTTGTGCTATTCTCACATATTAGAGAAGAGATAGAAATTACCTCAAAGAATTGACTTACTATTTAAGAAAAAGCAATGTTTTCCTGTATTGTGTGTGACCAATTGGGACCTCCCTCTCAGTCTCCCATCTCCACTCACATTCAACAACTCTACAAGTGTTCAGAGGAGGAAGAAAAACAAGAATGAAAATTAGATTTTGTCATATAAAAGTAATACGGTGATCAGGGATGCCTTCTCTGTGCAGCTGATATTGAACAGGAGCCTGAAAGAAATGAAAGTGAAGAAACAAAGTATACTAAGATCCTAAAGAAGACAGGCACCTTGGGGTGCAATAAAGGACAGGAAAGTCGGAATGGGTGGTGCAGATTGAGTACGGAAGAGTCCAGGAAACTGGCAGAAGACAAGCCATACTGGGGCTGAAAAGCATATGATATTCAGTAAAGGTTCTGAGTCAGACACAGAATTGAACTGGGATGTTAAATGGAAGGACTTGAGTTTTAGAAAGATACAGTGACTCATGTGGGGCACACGAACTTCGGAAGCAGGAGTAGAAATCATGGAGAAACTGTTCTTACAGTGGCTTAGCCCAGAAAAATGTGCTATAGGTGATGAGGTTGGTTAGAATCTGGATATCTCAAGACCATAAAGACAAGGGGCATTCCTCATGACACTTATTTTGAGAGAGAGAGAGGTGTCAAGGGCAACTTGCATTTTTGACTTGAGCAACTGAATAGATTTGAAATATTGGCTAAAACTTGGGAGTGAACTCAAGAATTCTACTTTGGCTATCTAATTGCAAAATGCCTACGCAACATTCAAATGGAGATTTTGAGTAGGCAATTAGATAACACGAGGTTAGAGTCCAAGAAAGAAGTTGAAGCACAGAAAGAACATGGATTGAGAGAAAGGCTGAAGACAGCTGTGGAGTAAACCAATAGCAAGAGAAGATGAGGAGCAGTCAACGGTAGGGGAGAACTTAGAGACTCACCAGAACTGAAAGGCACATTGAGAGTTTCTCTGTTGTGATGGTCAAGTAAAATGAAGTGGGATTTGAAAATATGATCATGGCGATCCAGGATGTGCGCCAGAACTGCCAGGTAGTGTTGTGTGAACCCCTTGGTACCTGGCCTGGAACAAGTGGAGTGGGCAGAAGCTATTGGTAGGAAAACTAGTGTTTGGTAAAGCCTCAGTATTCAGTGAAGGCAGAAATTGAAATCAAGGGGACCAGGGCAATCTCTATGATCAAACTGTATACCCTTAAGGATTGGAGAAAGGGACGGAGCTAGAAGGGTTCTTAAATAAAGGGACTTAAGATGCAAGATAATTTATTTGAACACTGAAGAAAATGCTGGTCCTTATATGAATTATATAAAGACGAATGTGGCATCAGGATTGGAGGAAGGCTTATTAACAGCCTTACTTGCTGACAGTGAGGAGGACTGGAAGCATGTGCTGCTTTCAGTATTGATTACAACATAATGTAAAGACCAAAACGGTCACAACTGGACCAATAGATAAAACCAAGATTAATGGAAAAAAGGTTAAAGTTGTCAAGGACTTCGTCTTGCTTGGATCCAAAATCAATGCGGATGGAAGCAGCAGTCAGAAGATCAAAGAATGCATTGCATTAGGTAAATCGACTGCACAAGACCTCTTAGAGTATTGGAAACAAGGGTGTTACTTTGAGGACTAAAGTGAAACTTTCTAAAGCCACGGTATTTTCAACTGCTTCATATGCATGTGACAGTTGGACATTGAATAAGGAAGGTCAAAGAAGAATTGATGCATTTGGATTGTGGTGCTAGAGAAGAATATTCAAAGTACCATGTACTATTAAAAGCTCAAACAAATCTGTCTTGGAAGACGTAAGGCCAGAGTGGGCCTAAGAGGCAAGGATAGTGAGACTTCCTCTCATACTTTGCACATGTTGACAGGAGACACCAGTCCCTGAAGAAAGACATCATGCTTGGTAAAATAGAAGGGCAGCAAACAAGAGGAAGGTCTTCAAGGAGATGGATTGACACAGCGGCTTCAAGAACGGGCTCAAGCATAGAAGCAATTGTGATGATGGTGCAGGTCTGGGCAGTGTTTTTCTGTTATACATAGGGTCACTATGGGTCGCAGCATGACTTGATAGCACCTGACAACAACAGCAGCAACATATGGCCAGAAGACTTGAGCATAATCAATACAGTCTCTTGAAAATCAGTGGTTTCCTTTGTCTTGTATAGGAAAAGATATTTGTAATAATTTAAAAATATTACATGACAGCATATTGATTTTAATTTGCCTTCAGAATTCAGCACATTTCTAACAAGATATGCTTTCCTTTCTGATTACACTATGCCAGTTTATGCTACTGGTCTCACATTTTTCCCTCCCTAATCACAAGTTATATCACAGACCTACCGGGTGGAAAAATGGCTAATAGCCTTTTTATTTCTAAATACAATTGGTAGGAAATGGATTTTTTTTAAAAAGCAAGTTAATCTCATGCTTCACTCAAGCTGTTTTATCATTGTTGTTAGGTACTAAGAATTGGTTCCAACTCATAACAAGCCTATGAAGAACATCATGAAACACTTTCCAGTCGTGCACCACCTTCACGATCACTGCCATGTTTGAGCACATTGATACAGCCCCCGTGCCAATCAATCTCGCTGAGGGTTTTCCTCTTCTTTCTTGGTGACCCTCTTTGTTATCGAGCATGTTGTCCTTTAGCAGGCTCTCCTGATAACATGTCCAAAGTACACCAGATGAAGCCATTCTTGCTTCAAGGAGCATTCTGGCTGT